AGTGAAAGATCATTAGATAGGCATCCTAATAAGGTTTTGGTCTGAAAGTGAGACCTTGAAGGGTGGTTAAGGCTTTTCATTTACTGGGATGCTAATTCGTTAACTGTATTTTTTGGTGATAGGAATTGATTTAATTGCATGTTGGTATTTGATTTCTGAGTTTATCATGTACTTGGAAACTTCCGCAGAATGAATATAAACGTGGGATTAGTGGTTGGAACTTCAACCTTGACGATATGAAGGCTCAAGCTTCATTGGTAATAATTCTGTTCAGCCTTTTGTTCTCCTAATTGGTTCATTTGCTGCAAAGTTTGGTTCCCAGGGATTATAATACATTTACTCTGGCTGTCAGATCCAGGACGATGATATACCAGAAAAAGATGAAGATATGCTAGGCAAACAACTTCAGCATCAATTATCTTCATCCAAACAATTTCGACAGCTTCAATGTCAGTTGTCGTCTGCAAGTCAATATTCAGATATTGCAGATTTGGTATGTACCCAACATTATGCGGTTTATATAAGTAGGATATTTTTCAGACTCTCTTTGGTGTCTTACAATATAAATCTTTGCAGGATGATAATGGTAACTCTGCTTCTTTCTCATCAGTCGACTCCACTGCTAACATGTAAATCATCATATTTCTATAATGCATGCATACATCTTGTGACATCACATTTATAAGCATAACTGTATTTACCCTTTTGAGTGAGTAACTAGTATGCAATCTCAACACTTCATCTATACATTATGGACGTTGTCAATCTGTATCAAGGCCTGTTGCGACCTTATCATAAATTTGTTTGGTTGGTTCTAATTGAATTTGTTATACATTCTAGAGCTAAATGTGAAAAGTCCGATGGCGACATAAGTATTTCTGGTTCAGCTAGCGAGCAGCAAACATCTAACATAATTTCTCCTGGAAAAGAGAACCGCGTGGAAAATAATTTGGCAGAAAAATCTGAGACTGCGATTAATGGAAAATCATCAGATGGAGCCCCTATATACTCTCATCAGAGGTGCATCTTTGCTCTCTTGATTCCTTATCTGCATCGCTGTTTATATTTATGTTACAGGATTATTTCTTCTTGGATATTTCAATAATCCACATGTTGCAAACTAAAATATACAATAAGTCTACTCTACTGTGCCGTTGTCAAATTTAGCAGTCAAACGTGACTGTACATCCTCCAAAAGCCAGGCATGACAATAAGGAGTGTTCTAACCTGAGAAAATTGCTAATTACTCCCCTTCTATCTGCAAATCGTTTCAGTGATCCATTATGTTCTAGAAAATGGACAAATCAATTCGTTGTGGTTTTACAGGCCTGCAAATTTAATTATCCTTAATTCCGCTCTCATAACTTTATTTCGAGCCTTCCTCGTATCGATCTTAGGTTATTCTAGCTCAAGTTGATTAGTTGAGCTGGATATGTCTGGTACTTTCTCATTTTAAACCCTAGTTCATGAATCTTTGCAAGATGTTGAGAGGTCTTATTTTTCCCCTCCCCTTCTCTCTTTCTCTATGTATGTGAGAATAAAGCATCTCATATATTTCAACAGTTCTTTTTTCGAGATTCTTTCAGCTATTTCTCCTCCTATTTTTATTTTTATTTTTATTTTTTTTTCTTTTTCCCTACAAAAGGTGAAACTCTCGGTATCTGGTTGGAAAAAAAGTTTCAAATGATGAACCAGTTCAGTATACAAAGTTTACAGAGATAATGCAGTACTGGAAATTTCTTTTGGATACTTCTCAATTGGTGTTGTGCAAGAAAATTTTCTATATATCACAATTATCAGAATCCTCAGTCATAATTTTTACTTTCTTGTACATTTCTGGGTTCTCACATTCTTTTTTGAGTTGGTTTGTTTTCAATTACGTTGCGTGTGTTTTATTTTCTTTGACAAATTTGTATTATGCACTTTGCATCTTTTAGCGATAAACTGCAAAATCAGCCCCAGAATTTGTCGAGCTGCAGCGGGGCTTTCATTCCACAAACAGTAGATGATGTCCTTCCCGAACTAATTCCCAAAGGCTCAAGAACATCAGGCAAGTTAACTTCATCATCTTAACACCCTTTTTTTTTTTTTTTAACAAATAACACGGCTTTTGGTTTGTTATCCATTTAATTCCTTGTCTATTCTTGTTTATATTTATGGTGCAGCAAATGGTGAAGAACTTGAAGAGAAGGCGAAGCCAGTTGTTCAGCAAAAAGGCCGCTTCAAGGTTACCTCAGAGAATGTCGAGGTAGAAAAGGTTTCTGTTTTGATCTAGCGTGAGAAATTTTTACGTTTACTAATTATGTCCTTCCAGGCGGTTGGAGCTCCAATGCTACAGAAAAGCCACAGCATGCAGGTTGGTGTTAATCATTAAAGCTGTTATTTTGGAACAATGCCAACTCAAAAGATTTACTATGTAGCTTTCGATGTGATTAGGTCCATAACAAAAATAACAATCCTAGATTTTAGGTTTTATTAGTTTTGTTCATAATATATCACGACACAGACAATATCAAGATTGGTTACCAACAGACCTAATGATATTCAAGAAGTAAAACCATTTCGAAATTTAAAATGTAAAGTCTAATTATGGCTGTTGATTTTTCTTGCTCCATTACATCACATTACATTTTTTATTATAAAATATCTTACAAGAATGTTATGGGCTATTTAGGTGATTTCTCAACATCCTGCTATTTCCCCACCACTGCCTTCTGATTCTAGACCATCAAGTTCTGTTGGCCATGCCTTTTTTTCTATGCTGCAGTCGGCTTTGCAAACGAACATTCTTCAAAGGGTATGTTTTCGTCTCAGACTCAGTATAAATCTTTTTATCTTTTTGGATTCTTTGAAATTTATTTTCTTTTCTTTTCTTTTTTCCCTACAGGATTGTATCCTTAGTCTAATGAAGCAAGTGTCTGTCGGTGATTCTACAGGTTTCTGCAGATGATGCATCTTAAATTCATACTTCATTTTTTTCATATGGTATTCTGACTTACCGTGTCTAGCCACCCGTGCAGACATAGGATGCATCTCGACAAACATAACTTGCATGGAAAAATCCTTGGTACGTACGTGTTTTGCTTATCTGTGCATTTGAGCTGCAATCTATCCCCACTCGATTTTACATAGCATTCTTAAATTAAACTATTGTGCAGATTTATACTATGTGCTTCTTGATTTGGAATGTGAAGTTAATATTTACATTTTCTCTCATTGTTTCTCTAGTTGGAGGCAGCTCAAGACAGGGAGAAGGATTTACTTCGTGAAGTAACTGATTTACAGTGGAGGTATCTGCAATTATATTTTCTTATGATGTGCCACTGTCTAAAGTTACCTTATTGGATCGAATAAATTGTAAGAATCTTGTGTTTTCTTTCTTGATGTAGGTTGATATGTGCACAAGAGGAGGTCCAAAAGTATAAAACAGAGAATGCTCAGCTAAACTCTTAAGTTACATTACTATAGGTTCTTGGTACATAAACCCTCAACCTCAAAGCTCAGAAGTAGTGATGGAAATCATCGGTTAGAGGCTTGATCGACCATTAGAATTTTTTTTTACACTTAAATGTCGATTTATTTGATTGAATGATTTTATTCTTGTACACCATTATGGTATATGAACCACTCGAAATTTAAAATCTGGCAATTGCTAGCTAAGTTTTACCCTCGTAATTTTGTCTTTATTTGGTTCGACTAATATGGTTATGGTTAAGAATTTGATATTCCTTGTTCTGATCAGTTTATCAAATATATATAGTTTAATAATTGGTATTGTTATTATTATCATCCATATATTCTGTAGGATTTGTTACAATTCCTCCTTCTTTATATATATTTATAAATTTGTGAAACGAAGGCGTAGTAATAACAAAGTGACTAGGTTTGTAGAAATTATCTCTCAAGAGTTAATATTGATTAATTAATGGATAATTATTCATGTATAATATGGTATCAATAAGGATGTCTATAATGTATATGTGAAATTACATGATTAATGGGTTGAAAAAATTGTTTTTCGATTCTTCAATAATGTTATGTCACTTGTAAATTATGGACACAATAATGTACATGTAGTATAACCCTTAATTAATCTCACACTTCGAGCTAAAAGTAAGATTTAGATAAATTTTGCCTCCACTCGAATGGTGTAGTGATAAAGGAGAAGGGTTCTCTACGGAATATCGGAGGTTTGAATCCCGCAGCAGCTGGAAGGCAATATTTATGTTGGAAGGTAAATGTTTTGTGGAGGCAAAGTTATTGTGTGCTTTGCCGTTCCTCCAGAGATCCTGTCTGCACATTGTAAAAAGAGATCCACAGGGAGGATAATTGTATCTTGAATGTTCGATCCAAGTGTGTAGAAGTTGCAACTGCATTCGGATTTACCTAAGTGGCGAACCGAGGGGAAGGCTATCATTCCTCATAATTAGTCGAGCGAAACTCAAACACCTGAGTCATAAAAAAAAAAAAATGATTTAGATGGATTTTATTTCTTCCCCAAAATTTTTATAGAATCTTATTGCTTATTGATACTCAAAATTCTCTGAAAATTAATTAATTGGCACGCCCAGTTTATGTGATTGATTAGCTTAAATCAATTATAGATGAGTTTCAATTCGAATTCGATGAAATTAATGAGAGATGAATTTATGGTCTCAATTCGATAGCCCAATCAAGATTCAAATTCGATAATCCGTTAACTAATTAAAGCATATATGGATATAAATCAATTTGATTTGATAAAAACATCCAATTGGATTTGTTTTTAAATATGATATATTTTATATATTATCGTATAATTTATTACAGCTAATTTTTTTTCCATTTTAAAACTTGTATTATACTTTACACATAATTTTTAAATAATAAATAATATTAGATAATAATATAATATTGTCAATTAAAATATTTAAAGAGTTTTTATTTTTTTATTAATTAAAATAAAATAAAAATAATTTGCTTATTTAATAAATTAAACAACCAAAGGAGCAAACAGTTGGAGTTGCTTTCATTATTTCCAACTTCTAATTTTCCACATCAGATATTTACTAAAATATCATAAAATTTGGAACATATAACTAGATGGGCAGAAATTGGGTAAAAAATTATTTAGGGCTTTTAAATCTAGGGTTTAGCAGTTGTCTAATATAAAATTTTACATCACACCCTAATTTAATAAGTCAGAATTCTAAAATCAAGTTGGATGTTTCATTGTTCAAAAATAAAATATTTTATTATTTAATTAATATATCCTATTTCATTCCAAACCCTAATTCATTTCCCCCAAACCAATTCTCTCTCTCGTTTCTAACTCTTCTGCTCACAACGACGACTATGCAGCGATGTCAGAGAAAGAAGTCGCTCTGGGCGCAGTGTGGTGTAGAGAAGTCGTGCAGTGGCACTTTTCAAATTGCTAATGTGCACGGCCGATCTAAGCATCGCAACTTTGATTCGAGATTGTGAAATGGCTAGACGATTGTGTAGGGATGATTTTGAGATCGCACGCGACGATTTTTTTGAGATCGTGAGATGGCTAGACAATGGTGTGTCGGTGACTCTGAGATTGTGAAATTGACAGTGGTAATTTTGATGTCGTGGCGATGGCACTACTGGGGACGGCGACGGTAGCGATAGCGGTGGCTGTGATAGTAGTGATGTTGGCTGTGGTCGTTGAGGTGGGAATGACACTAGCGATGATGTGTTACTATGATGCTACGATTGCGGTGGTGGGTAAGTGGTGTGGTGCTGTGCACGGTTGTTGTTGGGGTAGGTGGGGGTGAGATGTGGCGGTGGTGGTTTAATGATATTGTAGGTGTGACGGTGGCAGTTGTGATGCTGTGGGGGTGGTGGTGTGGTTCTGGCAGGCGACGATTTTGGTGGTGTTGCGACTGATGACAGTGGTGGTTAGGGCTGGTCCTGTGATTGTTGGGCCCTGAGGCAAAGCTCATAAATTAGGCCCCCAAAATTATCATGAATGCAAAATTTAACAACGTATTATGCAACATATTGTAAACTTAAAACTCAACATTAGAATAACAACAAATATATTATACAAAAGGTTTACATTATAAAATAGCAAAACTAACAAATTAATACACTGAAGTACATTTCCTCGGAAAAAAGTTTACTTCATTTTAACAACTTTATCTTTGTGGCAACTATTACTGTCCACCTTCATGAATTTGCATTCCCACAAAGCCCAAATTGTGCATTAAGAACTCCTCATTCTCTTGGGTCTCAAGAAGCAGCAAAATTAGAATACTCAAGGATCATATCCAGTGCTATAATTATAATCAAATTACAGATATATTTCCTAAAAGTAAAGGTTAAAAAATGTGATAATAAGAGATATGCCATAAGTTTCAGAGTAGCAGACTTATACATAAATGCTATAAGGCAAATAATTTTAACTTCCAAAGAGAAAATAAAGAAAAGGGAAATTTATATGATAACAGATAGATGCTAACCATTGACTCTTCATCTCCCTCACCAAATCGCAAGGCAAGATCACAGAGAACTTGTGTATTTGAGTCCACTATCATGGGCTCACCTTAAGAGAACATGTGATTATGGAAAAACAAAAATTACTAAATAATAAGCAATTGCCCATACCATTCTATTATTGGACGGCAGGTTATAATGGAGATTAAAGTTTACATGTACCTGAGTTTCAACTCGGACATGTTCAACCAGTGTTCGAGCATCAGCAATTAAACCAATCATAGCACAACCTCCATAATCTTCTCCATGTTGCTAGGCTCCTACAACAGAATTAGAATATGAGATGAATTAAGAACATGACATAAATTGTTTAACATCTACTTTCAAAAAGAACTATTAAATTTAAACGATGCTAACTCCAAGGCAAGCATTTTAGATACTAATATGGCACTGAGGCAAATTGACTACGGTAAAAGCAAGGATAATCTCAAAGTCTATAAGATCCTTTTTGCGATCAGAGCATCCATAGCTCACGTCTCTTTCAGCATTAAGTTTCTCTGAGCAAAGTTAGTTATCACGATACATTTCTAACCTCCTCCATGCTGATATTAATATTTTAATTTTGACATTTTTTTTTTAACTAGAATCACATTATGAATACTGGTGTTAGAACACTGTTTCCTTATATTCATTCCAGTTCATTACTCTTGCAAGGGCTCAAGCTCAGAAAACAACAAACTCCATTATTCAGTGATTAGGATTTTGATCAAGTATCCGGAAATGAGATCTAGAAATAACATAAGGTGATATCAATACTAGTACAATTACCTAAACAAAAATTAAATCATTATTTGGTCCTAACAGAACAAGTTGAAGTGACAATGATAAACATAAAAAATTCCAACCCAATGATTCTGAAGAAAAAGGATAGTAAATGTACCAAAAGATGAGAGGTAATGTGCTTTTTGACAGCAAGAACCATCCCTTCCTTATTTTTTATGGTGATTGCAGTAGAAGTGTGGAACCCAACTACAAGGATCACAAATAATACTAAATTTAATCAAAACTAAAGTAATTTACACTAGATTCATGAAGATGGGTAATTGGGTATATAATAAAATTATCATGAATGCGGTTACCTTGATGGCTTCAATGGCATGTTCAACTTGAAACAATCGGCCTTTAGGAAAGAAAATGTTAACTCCTCGATCATACAGTCATACTTAATCCTTAAAAAAAGGGATAAATTCATATAAAAATTTAAAAAATGAACAAATTAAAGAGAACATTAAAACCTCCTATAACCCATAGGTTTCAAGTTTGAAATGCCATTCTTTTTTTACCTTGTGAGTTGTGAGGAACATTTTCGATTCGATTATTAGAGCTCAAGAAATTGTTACAATGCTATAGATGAGTTTAAACACACAGTACTGGAGGTGGCGACTAGTGACTCGAGGTCTCCAGCGCGATGAGAAGCTACGCCGGTTAGGGTTGAAATTTGAAAAATGGGTGGTTAGCTTGTTTAGTTGTTTTGTGGTTTGTTCTCTTGTAATTTGTGTGAAAGAGTGAAGGGAACAAAAGAAGAGAAAAAGCCACCTGTCGTCGCCTGGCCGCCGGTCCGATTGGAGTGTCGGAGGTGGAGCAGTCGGTCGTAGGAGGAAAAGGAAATGAATTTTTTTTTCTTTTCCTTCATTTAATCAAAAAAAAAAAAACAAAAAAAAACTGGGCCAAATGAGGCCCCCTTCGGTTCTGGGCCTGAGGCGCAGGCCTCATTGGCCTCACCTCAGGACCGGCCCTGGTGGTGATCACAAATGATTTGACTGAGTGTGATCATTATATTGGTTAATTCGTTACCAATAAAAATGTAAATTGTAACTAAAAAATAATGTTTGATTTAAAAAATTGTTAATTTATAATTGTATATTAAGTTGTGACTTATAATATTTGTGAACAATAAATAAATCATGATTTAAAAATTTTAGATTTGTGATCGATGAACAAATTGTGATCTATAAAATTTTTGAATTGTGACATAAAATTTTTGATTTGTGACCTAAATATATTTAATTAATAAGATAAATAAATAATTAATTAAATCATAAATAAATTTTAATAAAAATCCAACTTTTGAAGTTTGAAACTAACATTCTTGATTTTGAAATGTATGATACTTAATTTTGAATCAGATTATCAGATCGAAATATCCGTTGGATTATCGAATCAGATCGTATAATTATTTTTATAG